AGAATTCATAAATCATATAAAATTTAAAAATTTTCAAGGTTTACATTGCATAAAAAAATAAACAAAGCAATATACATGAAATTTTTACAATGAATATGAATACCTACCTTAGCACAAGTACAACATTTCTTTAGTGTCTTTTTGACACGTTTCACTCTCTTTAATGATAACAATCTAATAATCACATAAAACAACCAACTAAAATTCTTCCATAAAGCTTTAATCAAATTCCAAATTATTCCAAATTGTCTAAACCCTTCGTTTCTCATTATTCGATCCTTATGAAACTTAAGAAAATTTACATAATTTAAATTAAATTTTTGGATTTATTAAAATTTCTAATTTTTTGAAACCCTAAATCATCAATTTCATCAAATCATTATGCCAAATATTCTCCTAAACCTATTTTAATTATTACCTTAATTATTTTCGGAATTATTTAATTAGAAATTATGAAAAATGCAATTTCTCAAGAAAATTAAAAATTTTTATTTAGAAACATTCCTAACACCCATAGAAATCACTTTTGTGGAAGCACTTTAAGAAATTTTAATTTTAAGTAAAAATCTTAATTTTCAATTCTCAAAATTTCTTGAAGAAAACTTTGTTTCTACTATTAAATCATCTCCCTAAATCTTTCCTATTGATTTCATAAAAAAATGTTGGAAGAAACTAATATTTTTGGAATAACCTTAAATTTTTCCTTTCCAAAAATCTTGAAAATGAGAGAGTTTTACTTCAAATAAAACATACATTGTTCCTCTCTCAACATTCCTCTTCGATTTCCACTAATTTTCTCGCCGGAAAAACTTCGCCGGAGCCACCCGTCCCTTATCTCCTATCCGCCTACCGTCCGCTCCCTTTCAATTTGGCCGAACACACAATGAACAAATGAGGGGAGGTGGTTTCGATTTTCCTTATTTTAGGATATATGTATTGCCAAAAGACCGCTATGCCCTCACTTAAACAATACATGCTTCAATAATCACTGAGGGTATTCTAGGTATTTAGAGGCTTCTATTAAATTTAATTTCTAAATTAAGCAAAATTAGATATAGGTTTTATATATGAAATCGTTCAAAATTTTGCGCAGAATTTTATAAAATTATTTCTGTCGAAATCCATTAACTTTGAATTTTTCACTTAAATCTCGTCGCGGTGCATCGAAATATGTGCGACATTTACGATCATCAAATTTTGGTTTTTACAATAAACGCCAAACTCAAACCACAACAAGCCAAAATTAAACATCCAACCACCACAATCTTCTCAAGATCCCTAACAGGAGATAACCCATGGTTATTAAACAAATTCCTTGAATGTTACAATCTATAGGACGTTAGCACTGGTAGACTGAGAATTATAGGTATACCCAGGATGACGGAACTGAGATCTTGATCGGGGCTATCTCTATCCCCAAAAGCTTTCCCTCAAAAAAAAAATAAATCTTAGATTTTCAAGTTAAATCTAAAGTTATATCAAAATGACTCATCTTTAATAGAAAGTGCTCTCCAAAGAATTGGAGGGGTTATTAATTATGAGAACTTGCGCTTATAAAACGTTGAGACCCCATATCTAAAAAACTCCGATATAAGCATCAGAGGATATCTAGTTATTTAAAGATCAAGCTACCTTAAGAAAAATGAAACCCTAAGCTTGGAAGATGCGATTCATATAAAATCTTTTTTCTTGAGCGAACAATGTTCATCAACTACATATAAGGGAAATTTGAGAACATATAATTAAGTTCACATGTGTAAAACCCGAAAACGACGATCGTAGGGCGCCGCACGCATTTTGATGCGTCGTGTCGTGATTTTAGTGAAAAAATTCAAATTAACGGATTTCGAAAGAAATAATTTTATTAAATTATATACAAAATTATGAACGATTTGATATATAGAACTTATAGCCAATTTCGCTTAAATTGGGAGATCAAAATTTTAGAAGTTTACAAATACCCAAACTACCCCTAATTTTTTCTTAAGTCGAGATGTTTTAAATGAGAGCATAGCGATCATTTGGCAATCTCTATCTCCCTAAGTAAGGAAAATCAAAACCCCTCCCCTCATATTTTCATTCGGCCGAAACCGACAGAAGGGAGCGGACGGATGGCATGGGCGACGGGGAGCGTTCGAACTGTGACTCCGATGATGTTTTTCCGGCGAGAAAATTTGAAGAAATCGTAGAGGAGACTAAGGAGAAGAAGAAGGAATGTTTAATTAAAGCATTTCCCCTTTCATTCTTTAGATTTTTGGAAAGGAAAATTTTAGGGTTTTTCCAAAAAATGTATTTTTCTTCCAAAACTTCTTTACGAAATCAATAAGGAAGATTTAGGGAGGTGTTTTAACGGTAGAAAAAAAGTTTTCTTCAAGAATTTTTTAGAATCGAAAATTATGGTATTTAGCTAAAATTGAAATTTCTTAAAGTGTTTTCATAAAAGTGATTTCTTTAGGTATTATGAATGTTCTAAATCAAAATTTTGAATTTTTTTAAGAATTTGCATTTTTCATAATTTTTTAATTAAATAAATCCGAAAATAATTAGGGTAATTATTAAAATAGATTTATGAGAATGTTTAGCGTAATAATTTGATGAAATTAATGATTTAGGATTTCCAAAATTAGGGGTTTTAATAAATCTGAAAATTCAATTTAAATAATGTAAATTTTCTTAAGTGTTGTAAGGATCGAATAATGAGAAGCGAAGGGTTTAGACAATTGAAAATTTAATTAAAGCTTTAAGGAAAATTTTAAATGACACTTATTTATATGTGATTATTAGGTTGTGATCATTAAGGGGAGCGAAGCGTATCAAAGCGACACTAAGTGTTGTGCTTGTGCTAAAGTAGGTATTCATATCTATTTTAAAATTTTTCATATATATTTTTTGCTATTTTTTTATTCAATGCAAATCTTGAGAGTTTTTAAAGTTTATATGATTTATGAATTTTATTTTGCAAATGTCATGTTAGTATAATCTTTTTATTTCAATAGATTAATAAATTTACAAGTTACTTGTAATTTTCATGTTTTAAGCAAATGATAATTGAATCATGACTATTTTTCATTAAGCATATGATTGACTGAAAAATAGATATGAAATTGTGCATGTTGATGCGGAGTGCTCAAAATGATAAAGGGGCTCAACAGAGCCAATGATAAATGATTGACCAGATGAATGAAAATATATACGTGATCAGTACAAACTCTATGGGCACCTCCGAGACAGGTGATATAGTAAATATTATGTATATTATGGTTCATATATATTTTCTATGTAAAATAAAAGTTTATGTTTAAGGAAAAATTATATGAAAGTTTATGTTCAAGGAAAGATTTTGAAAATGTTTCTTATCTAGAAAGGTTTTGAAATTTATGTAATATTGACTGTCATTTAAAGTTTTCATATGAAAAAGATGTTTTATGTAAATTTTTATGAGAAATATGAATTATCTGCTGAGCGAGTAAGCTTACTCCTGGTTGTGGGATTCTTTTTCACGAGAATCATCTGGGAAGTGATGGAAATGAGACAACAATACACCTACCATCGTAGAGGGCCTCAGGAAAAAAACTTTTATATTTTCTATTATGTGTATGAGTCAGTGGATTGTAATGAGGAGTCTATTGGAGTTTCTGTTTATGTCTATATTTTTAGTGGTTATGGTTTAGAAAAAATTATTGGAACACTTTCAATTTGATGTTTTAGTGGCTCTTTCTTACTTTGTATGGATGATGATTAAGTTTATGTCCTTTTATTAAAACTAGATGAAATTGTTATGATTTTTATGTTATATGTGTTTTCCATACGACTTTCTATTTCCGCCCCATTAATTCAGGCTAGTCGAGCCGGGTCGTGACAACATGGAAAGGAGAAATTATCTGACTACCTTAACAATGAACTCTTTGGTGTACATTATATACAACAAGAGTTTGAAGGAAATTTTTTTGAAGAAAAAAAGGGTTTGAAGGATGACAAGAATCTCTTTGTGACAATATTTATTATATTCTTAATCGAATGTTGGAAAATAAGAGTAGGAGAAATTTATTGAGCTAAAATCTTAATTTGATTTGAAATCTTACATTTTTTTAATTGCTATCTTATGTTATTTTGATATTTGTATTGAACTTCTACTTTGTGCAATTTGTTACTTCTTATTATGTTAGAATATTAATATGCTATTTTTTAACATATTGATTGGTTATAATGCTAATATATTACATCATATTTGCAATTTGACTTCACCCAATCTTTTTATTGTGCCTTAAGGTTTTATGCCTTGTCCCATTGATGAAAAAAGCTTAATACCTAATTGCACAATTTTAAATCATGCATGATAGAGTAGTGGGTAGAGAAGAAAGTGAAAGCCAAGAAGACTTTCTCAAAAGAGGTGAGGACATGAGCGGAAAAATTTGGAGCACGGAAAAGAGACCATTATTCCATTGGGAGAGTGTCAGTCAGAGAGTGAAAAGGTGAGCCAAGCTGCAACTCTAGAAAACTCATCAACCTTTAAAGGAAGGAGCTGGCACAAAAAAATCCAGTCTAGAGGCACAATACAAAGACCCCATGGGTGCAAACTGCGAGCGAAGAAGCAGAGGAGAGCAACAGAGCCACGTGCATAAATAGGAGAGCAAACCATAGCTAGTGGAAGGAGAATGAGCATGCTCACGAAAGGTCACAAAATCGTAGCAATAGAAACAACAAAGGTGAGCTACGGAGCTGCACATGAGATGAAGCTGAGGGAGCGTGCTAGCAAGGAGTGTACTTGCAGGATGAAGTTTAGTAAGCGCGCAAAAAACTTGCTTGCAGAGATGAAGTTAAGGGTTTCTTGTTGGGTGCGCACTCACACCCTGCATAAAAAATGTTTGAATGACTAAAATACATGACCTCAGATTAACAATAGAATCAACTTAACCATTAATCTAGACATGTCATCAAATGAATGAACAAATATTTGATCATATTTACCTAACAAATATGTTTGTACAAAATATACGTACCAACAAACCATAAACGTCACAATAATGATAAAATTCTGGTCTCTCAGCTAATCCACCTCCCCAGCAACGAAGCATATTGAAGTTCATATCAGCATGAAACTTTATGTCTGCCATGTATCGTTTAGCTGAAAGCCGCAACAGCCCATCAGACAATATCCAATTTCCTCCACGGATGAAAATTCGTTGGCCATTTACCCTGAATAATCTGCAAAACTGAGATATGCAACTCAGATATCTATTACTAAATACATGGCCCATTCGTAAATCTCTTAACAGCAAGGAAAGGATTCATAAAAGGATAAAAATGATGACATGAATATACATACCTTCCTCCAGTGGCCTTATCTATTGTACTCTCAATCTTCCGAAATCCAAACTGATGAGACCATGAATCAGACTCGCCAAATCCTTTCACATCAACACTTATTTCAATACTATAAAGTGACTGCTTACCCATGCCATTGGGCCACCACAAATTTGGCTTGTAAAAGAATAACTGGAAAGTAGTTATTAAGCAAATGTATTAGAGTAAAATTTTCATGCTGTTTATAGTAGAAAAAATAGTCCTCCATGGAGATAAAGTAGTAAATACATTGCTGTAACGTAAATGACATTCAGAATATTCAGTTGGTATAAATTTAAGTAATTAAGAGAAGAATACAAGCAAACACGTCAGGTAATCAGAAGATTATGAAAATTTTCAATCTAGAAAACATTTACGGTAAAGTATTCCCCATATGAAGAGGTCTTAAACTTAGGTTTCATTTGGTTCAGCCTTTTTATTGCTCAATAGTCCTGGTAAATATGTGAAGTATTCTTCGAAAATCATTATTTTGCATGTGTGATTTCTCTAAAATTTCATGAACATCTGAGCTAACTAAGGGAGCATATCTCATATTTCTACGAGACAATGATTTTATTTCTTAAACCACAATAAAACACAACATCAACATAACCTAGATGCTTAAATGACATTGATGGCCAAACGTTTCAGAATTGAGCTGATTTAAAGATTTGGGTGCAAAGGAGAACTTGAATCATGAAAGAAATAGGCATCTAAAGCATGATGATGATGAATGTTTAAATTATTTCATGGACATGAAAGGAATAGGTGTTTAAAGCATGATGAAGACAAATGTGTTCAAAATTATTTCATGTAAATCATCCGTTTGATGAGTCTTCATAGAAACATAACTTTCATGGTCGACCTCTTTAACATTACATCATATGTTTCTAGGACATACTAAGGTAAAACAACGGAATTCATTCTCATATAAGCTTCCCTAACAAGTAGAACTTGAAAATTTCAGCAACAAACTTGTGATGACCACTTTACAGAAAATGCTCCATGCTTGACATATGAAGGCAAATCTTGCTACAACCTTCAAAAAAAAAATCCTTTGTTTTCAATTAGCCACAACAAAATAGAAAACTAATCATTAAATTATAAGAAAATCTTTAGGAACTCTATCATTAAAACCCATCTCAACACAGCAAAAGCATAACCCAGAGTGGTTGCTCAACATTTTTCCAAAAAGTTTTCTGTCCAACTGCCAGCCATTCACGACAATAGCAGATGAACTGCACTGATTTCTACTGAAGTATCCAAGATCCCCAAAATCACATCCAAATGTATGCTGAAGTTAAGTTAGATCTCTTATTCTCTGTACAAGATCGAAGAACACCAACTAAAAGGAGAGATTTGCCTGGGAGAAAAGGTATAGTATTTTAACTTCCAGAATATGCATGTACCATCATAGATTGAGGTGCAATCAGGTCAAACCTCACAGTTAAGTGCCAAAAGGAGCAGAAACTCCTCACTTTAATTCTGACAATACTAGGTAGCATAATGTTCTGACGTTCTAACCATCTTAATCTTGTGAAGTAAAATATCAAACTCACCAATAAGAACAACACCGCTCATGAATAAAAAGAATAAATAAGGAAAACTCTGACAAAGTGGTAAAATAAATCAAATAAACGGATCAGAATCCCTTCTTAGAAAAGCATCATAACAAATTATAAGACAACAGGTGATATCAGGTGATATTCAGAAGTAAGATAACTCACTGGAGGAAGCGTGTAATGCACAAGGGACCCAGGAGGGATTGACAGCTCATATGACTGGAGATGCTCTAGCAGAAAAACGTCTTCAGCTAATCCTGCTGTCACTTGGATAGTTAATGAACACTCTGCACGCCAAGAACTTTTGTTTTCCAAATCAACCGTGGTATGTAGATATGATCTCTTATAGTTATCAAAGAATGATGAGACCAGGTGTGGATCGGCTAGCTTGACAGGCTAGATCCAAAAGCCAAAGCATAATATAAGAATTTAAAACAGCATCATATGTCGGTTAAGATTTAAGGAACAACTTTATGGTAGTAGTAGTGATGAAAGTAATAAAGTGATAAAACAACGATCTTGGAAATTTACCACTTGCAGAGAATGATTTTGAGAAAATTTTGGTCTATGCTGATCATGATAACACTAGTGTGACAGTTTTAGGTGCTTGAAATGCACAATAATAGATGATGAAAATGGAAGCTATAATACAAATTTATGGAGTACAAGGTAAATTTTGATAACTTACACCAGTAATTGAAAGTGATACTTCATCCCAGATCCCAGTATTCCTATCCCTGCAGTATGTTTAACAAGAAAATCAAGGAGATACTTTTTCCAAAAAATGCAAATGGAAAGTGGCTGCACTACAAGCAGTAAGAAGACAAGAATGTTATTGTAAGAACTCAAGGTAATAACTCTTCGTGGATGAAGAATTTTGGCATTTGACCCAGACAAAGAACTTAACAAAATAAAGAAAATATAGATTTAAAAGAATATATATATATATATATATATAGAATTTGACTTTTAATAGGACACAATGGAGAAAAAGGATTCATGTAGCCGACCCCACGTAGTGGGATAAAGGCTTGATGTTGTTTTTTAATTATAATTATAATTAATTTATTAATTATAATTAATTAGTACTTAGTAATTAATTACTAATTATAATTGTTTGATTAATTATAATTAAATTCATTTAATTGTAGTTAATCATTAATTAATTATAATTATAATTAATTTACTAATTATAATTAATTAATGATTAGTAATTAATTATTAATTTTAATTACTTAATTATTATTATAATTAATAAAAAAACCCTCTCTTACCTCGGTATGCATGTCGCGCCGATCAACCACCTATACATGCTTTTTTCTAACGTGGTGGGAAGGGAACCCGGTGGGGCACATACAAAGAGGTAAGTGAGCGGCCCTTGAACCCAAAATTCTGTCCTCGGCGTTCGCGTCGAACTGGCAAATCGCTCATACACGTTTTTCTCTAGCGTGGTGGGAATGGAACCCGGTGCGACACCTATGACGAGGCAGATAGGACCGGTGCACACTTTTCTTAGCATGGCTGGGACAACTTTAAGTACCCGTACGCGGCTCTGTACCTGCGAGGAAACAACTATTTTTCTTTTGTAACAGGTACCGAAAACCCATACACGTCTTTCTCTAGCGTGGTGGGATTGAAGATTTCATGGTCGCGATGTCCAAGGACACCTACCATATACGCTTTGCTCTTGTGTGGAGGGAGGCCCAGTTTTCCGTAGTTTTTCCCTAAACGGGGGAGACGTCGGGAGGCTGTCGAAATTTCGAGCGAACAAAAGACCACACTTGAATCTGATTTGGACTCAAATGAACAGTGGAGTTGTGGACTTGAACCTGAACAAAACATAAAAAAAAAAGATGGATAAAAGGCTAAACCCAAGTAAAATAAGATCAGACTGGAGCTAAATTCAAATCAATTTGAACATGCAATTGAACTTGCAAAGACTTCAAAAGACGTTGAACAAGAACTTGAACCTGTACTTTGAGCTCGAACTGTACAACATCAAGTGAAACTTGGACTTGAATGTGACATAGTGCATACGCACTGGACTTGCAAATGAAATTAAAATGAGGACTTGAACCTTCATGTAACATGTCTTGAAGGTAAAATCAAACTCAAAACAAGCTTGAGCAAATGATGTTGAACTGGACTCGGATGCAAATAACAAATGACTTGAACTCAAGTCCGATCGCAACAGACTTTAACAACATGAACTATAGGGAACCTGAATGAAATACACATGACTGGGCTTTGGATGAATGAACAAATCAAAGTCTAAATGCATGGTCGTCCAAGTGAACAACAAGTTGCAAGTGGAAGATAAAATCTCAATACATGCGAAAGATGATTAAGGAAACCTAAGTGATTTAGAATATGCAACCAAAGCAACAATGCTTCTTACAAGCATACACAATGCAACACATTTGAAGCACAAACCTGTCCCTACGAGGTCAAATGCACCATACTTGCAAGGACAACAGATGGTTGCAAAATGCATGTGTATCCTATATGCGCTATTGGAATCTCCAACACAAGCAACAATGCATGTTGATTGAAGAAGGCGACACTGGAGATCAATAGTGGAGGACCCCATTGCCGCAAATAAGTTGTGAATGAAAAAGATGGACATGATGCAGATGTAATAGACTCCTACAACAATCCTTATAAGATCAAATGCACTATACTTACAAACAACAATAACAAGTTGCAGAGTTTATATGTGACTACCACATGTACTAATATAATCTCCAATACAAGCAAGTGTCTGTATATTGAGATGGAAACACTGGCAATTGATAGTGGAAGACCCGTTCCTACAAATAAGTACAATCATCATACCACCTGAGATTGATGAAAGGTGGATATGATGCAGGAACAATGGCTCTCCTACGAACACTTCTAGGATGTCGTAGTAAATACAACGGGTCCCTGTAAACAAACACGAGCCACTTGTGGATAACAACAATGGGTATATTATAAGTACAACGAACCCTTGTGGACACAGTACATATATCACCTACAACAACGGTGATTGAGATTTGTGAGTATGTCGGGTATAAAGACAATTCGATGTACGGAGAAGGACACCTCCCGATAGAATGGAAGAGATGTTTGAACAAATTCGAACTAAACTTCTTAGTGTTCCAAAATTTCTTCTTGACCATTTACTTAGGAAGAAAAAAGTTCTTGCATCCACAAACACTGAAAATGACAAGTGCGCTCAGATACATCTATTTATTTTGAAGGAAGGCCAACTATGTAGTTATGGATGTTACATCTTGTAGAGGTCTACTACATTATAGATCTTGAAAAGAGTTCTTTTCAAGGCAGCAGTCACGAATTTCAAGGACATTCCGGTGAACAAGAAAAGGGAAGTTAACATCAGGATGATGAGGTGCCACATGATATCCAGAAAATAATGTCATCGGATCTGCAACCTATATACAAGTAGACAGAAGGCGTGTACAAGCTTCCAAATAGAACGTTGCATTCAAATGAGGGGTTTCCCACATAACTAAACAGCATCAAATATCTCAAAATACCCTTACACATGCATCATAGTTTGTATACACATAGGTACACAAAAGGGATAAATATATGATACATCGGCATGAGTTCCGACGAGTATGTTATTGGTACACACATGACGTTTAGGGATGCTACGCGAGTCAATAAATTTGAATATGATCTTCCTAAGCATGTAGATAGGAGTCAACAAGGTTCAGCAAATAATTATAAAATGCCCCAAACACCCGCATGGGCCCCGGCGAGCGTGTTATTGATACATACGTGACGCCTAGGGATGATGCGCGGGTCAAATGGTGAGTCTATTTCCGAACCCGATCCTCCTATACGGTTAGATAGGAGACGACACAGTTCGATCATTAAATACATATGCGGCCGCAAGGACGATCGGGATATTTATTTTATACATTCATATTAGGCTAAATTTTTTAGTGAAGAATGTGAAAATACGATTGACTTTAGTGACTTTATTATCATAAATGAAAATAAAGATTTTTGTTTTTATCGACGTATAAGTAAAACCGAAGTTAGAGAGGCTTTAAAGAAAATCAAGTGTGGAAAAGCTGTTGGACCTTATTATTGATGAAATAAAAATACAAATATAACACAAACTAATATTGCAAACTAAAAATAACTTTATTTCCCAAAACATTGACAAACATAAAATAATATAACCATGTTATTTTTAAATTAAAAACACAACTCAATGACACCCTACAACTTAAAATAAAAACAACTTATCAAAGATTTTAGAAGAAAGATATAAGAGAAATGAAAACCATGGAGAGAAGAATAGATAGAAGACTGAGATGAAATAGAAGAAGTGAGGTAGAGGAAGATGGCTCGCAAGCTAAATAACCCGCAAATTATAGTGTCCAAATATTATCACCATTCAACATCCAAAACTCCAGCAACAAATCAACCCTATTAATAGGGGAAAAAAAAGGTCCAAATGCCCACATAAATGTGCCACCCCAAGCAGCCAATAGAAGCCAATTCTTGGGCTTGTTGTGTGATAGAAAAGTCCCCCTCAAACTTAAGGCAAAATTCTATAAGATGGTGGTGAGACCTGCAATGCTTTATGGTGCCGAATGTTGGCCATTAAAAGAGAAGCATAATACTAAGTTAAGTGTTGCAGAAATGAGGATGTTTAGGTGGATGAGTGACTTGACCCTTAGAGATAGAAAACGAAATGAACATATACGTGAAAAGGTTGGAGTAGCTCCAGTGGAAGATAAGATTAGAGAGAGTCACCTTAGATGGTTTGGTCACATCAAATGGAGGCCTTCCAATGACCCGACTAGGAAAGTTGTGGTGTTAGATTTGACTATAGCTTTCGGTGCTAAGGTGAGGGAATGAAGATGTCCAACATATGGATTTTGTGCTAAATGTTGGAGAGCTCTCATTAGCCTTGGAGCCAAAAAGAAAAGAAAATTCTCCCACAACCTTGGAGTTTGAGAGAGAATATAAAATTTCCTATGGCTTTTAAGTTAAGAGAGATATATATAGTATGCAACTTGGAGGTTGCAAACATAGCATGAATCATTGAGTTTTATCGTCAATGAGATGCAATCATCTACCTAAATTAGGTAAATATGAGAAGGTGACATGTAGATTTGGACTACAAGTCGTAATGAATTTATTTGAACTTTTAGGTGTTCAAGGGAGGGGTACGCCCTTCCAACTTGGGTCGAAAGATGAAATAGAGATGGGACTTTAGTCCTTACAATTTTCTAATGTTCTCCTAAACTCTGTACAAGTCTTTTGGAGGATTCTATATGAGTTCAGGAAAAGCACCAAACAAGGATGTTTGAGGGTTTCTAAAGGCTTTTAGGCTAAAGAAAGTTGGAGAATTTTCTACAATTTTGGCTTGTAGGAAATTCAAAGGAAAATGCAACTTAGAGGTTGCAAATTCATGAATGTTCTTTGAGCATTTGGTGTCCAAAGAGAAGATGTACACTCCTAATTTGGGTTAGAAGAATGAGAGGATTTCTAACAACTTCTGAGATGTAGAAAGAAGGAAGCAATGTGCAATTTATGGATTGCAAATTGGGGATACTCTTTGAACATTTGGTATTCAAAGAGAGATTAACACTCACTTGATTTAGGCTAAGTGAATGGGGAAGGAAGATTAGGATTTGGATCCTAGCTCTAGAAGATTATTCATTAGTTTTGTGTTCCAACGAATAGGGTAGAAGAACTAAGAATTTGATTCTTAAGTTCAAGAGCTTCATGCAGTGATATTTTTGAAGTCTTGGAGGATTTCAAATCATCATGCAATAAAGAGAGGAGGATTCAAAAGAGAGCTCCTAGTTTTCTTAGAGTGTTTTGACCATAGTAGTTGATTTGCATTTGAGTTTTGATTATCTCACTTCAATCCTCTAATTTGAGAGTTGCATAAATAGAGTTAAATAATTCCAATATAAGGAGGCCCATGATACGCTTCATGTTTATTACGGAATTAGATGAGCCTATTTGAGTATCTTCCAAAAGTCCACAAGTTAAGGATTGCAATCAAAATCATGCAAACTAATTTAGTTAAGTGTGCAATCATTTGGATTAGAGTTATTCATTATTCGTCTTTCACTTTAAATTTGAGGAAGTATCGAAAGTGAATTCAAATAATTTCACTTGCCATGAGATTTGAAACACAAACTTGAGGGTTCATGAAAGACCCACTATTTGTTTGTAAAGCTTTCAAAATCAATTGAATTCATTTCTAAACCTTCAACAAATTCAAGCGAAATTACAAATGCTAACGGTGCAATGCTTCCAAATCTCTAAGTTAATTTTTTCATAACTTTCGATTTGTTGAGGGTGAGATGCATGCTACAAGATATGAAAGATCCTATACATTGTCATTCAAGTTATGGTCGAATGACAATGCGTAACCTAAGGCTTGGTCATAGGCAAACTGATATCTTTATCTCGTTCATTTCCATAGGTCAATCTTTCATTCGATATGATCGTCACCCGGATGATCATCAATCATTATGTGGTACTATATATCCTCATGCTTAATGAATGTACTGTATCATCAACTCATTGATCAAATGAGGCTAAAACCCTAGAGCTTTCAATCCCCGAAGGTAGATTTGGTAGGATTCATAAGGAAGCACGAAGCCCCTGAGGGAATGATCTCCCTAGCCGTCAACTTAGCAATGGGAAGAATAAGATTAAAAAAGGGAAGACTTTGTGGTCCTCCAAGCATTGTCCTCTTATAACACCATCTTCAATTACCCACTGAATTCTTTCCAGGAGATCGCCTCAAGCTACCACCTCGGCATCCAAATGGCCTAGGCTTAGCGTGGGGCAAACTAGAAGCTAGAACCCTAGAGCTTTCAATCCCAAAGGGAGATTTCGTAGGATTCGCAAAGAAGCAAGAAGCCCATAGGGAATGATATCCCTAATCATCACCTTAGTGATGGGAAGAATAAGGTTAAAAAGAGAAGACTTTGTGGTCATCCAAGCATTGCCGTCTTATAATACCATCTTCGATCACCCACTATTGAATGCCTTCTAGGAGATCGTTTCAAGCTACCATGTCGATGTCCAAATGGCCTAGGCTTAACATGGGGCGACTTAGAAGCCTCCTAGAGATACTACTTAAACATTGTTCAAGGATAGTGTTGGTTGGAATATAAAAGTGGGAGCCGACAACATCTAAGACAGCTGAATCATAGATTGTGCTCGGGAGGTACCTATGTCCCTCATAGACAACCCAGCATATTGAAACACTTTTGATACTATATCAAGAGAAAATATTTCAATGTATCATATCAACTAAATAAAAGTGAATAAAAAGGCCTTCATAAAGAATATAAAAGGAAAAAAATAATGAAGAGAGGACACATATTTATAAGCATATAAATGAATATCACTATAAAAAAGTATTCTTCAAATAAGATATTTTCCTAATATTTCTTTCTTAAAATGCCAACAATTCTAAAGGAGCAATTCTTAGATAAAAAATGAGAGAACTAGATAAACAATACTTCGATATAATTTACATGACAGATATGAATGAAAACACTTCTGTTGTGCAAGAAGTGGATGCAATACTGCTTGACACCCTTTAATGCCCAAAGTATCATATTTAACCCACAATCTATTTCTAGCTTTCATCAGGGTTTCAGCAATCAACAACAATTGAAAATGTAAACTAAATGAACAAATCTCAGAAAAGCACATGCTATAATTATCATCTATGAGAACTACCTAGTTAAGCATTTGTAAGCATCTAAATGTCGTTTTAGCTATCCTTCCATCTTAATATTTGTATTAACAGATGCATTTTCTGTAGTTTTAAGTTAGCAAAATTTTGTAAACAATTTTGAAAAGTCATCACAATGTACCTTTTGTCCAGCCTCCAGTCCCTTTCAGACTAATTCACTTTCAAATTAAGTAAATTAGGTGAACAGAATAAAATGCTTCAAACAATCCTTATTACGCAAAGCATATAGACAAATTCATTGTAAATTGATTACATTTCTACAATCATCAAACCATTCATTTCGAGTTCATTGCAGTTAAGTGAGGTTGGCATCAAGCCAAGCCTGAAAATAAATTTATACCACCAAAGTATTTTACCCAGAAGTATATCCAAGTAACTTAAAACATTTTTCTTTTACGAGCAGAACAAAAAAAGAATTATAAAGTTTAAGTATAAGTAGTTCCACTCTTTGATCAGAATTATAATCAAAGTATTGTATCCATGCATGTCTTGAGGAGATCGACATAGGCATTTCAAAAGCCTAATCTGATCTAATGCAACAGAAAAAAATATTATATAGAAACCGAAGACCCATAAAATATAATAAAGTTTTGATGTGAAACTTCACCAGATGGGGAACTCTATAGTGTCAGAAAGTATAGTAAAATTTCTATTAAAAATGGCATATACCTCATGATCACCTCCTTGACCTCCTTGAGGAGGAATTGTTCCAGGATGATCAGGAGGATAGATAAGTACAGCAAGCAAATTTTTTCCATCAGAGTTAAGAATATCAGTAATATCTAGAGAATGTCTTCGAAACATCCCTTTTTCGAGGATCCTTTTGTGCCCATTTAAATACACCTCTCCAGAGTAATTGATTGCACGAAAATTGAGAGTTGCATGTTGATTTTCTTTCTGAATAATGAATTAATTAGTGAGAGAGTAAACAAATGAAAGAAGATATTTAACGTTGAACATTTCACAAAATATGTAGTGCTAAAACTAGACTACAACAAAAATATGAAAAAGAATTTGACTTTTGGCATGTGCGCAATTAACAATGGTGGCATTATCTTCTTTTCTTGATAGATATAATACTACTCGGTCCCTGAGTAGCCACATCGGCTTGGGTATTTTTTTCAATTTGGTATGGCTAGCAAGAAAAGTTCTTTAACTTTCACACGGTTTGCATAAAATATTAATTTAATTTTATATGTTTGGTGATTATTTTCAGAAGTTTAACATGTTTTTAGAAAAAATTGACTGTTATAAAATTTAATTTACACCTATGTCCACCACAAAAACTTGGGTCCTACACAAGGTCAAGGATTTCCAAAAACACTTTCCACAATAAAATGGTTCATAAATATCATAACGCATACGATGTCTAATCTGTTTGATTTTGTTAATAACAAAATAATAATAATTTAGAACACAAATTATCTCTAAATTATGATATAAGGAAGTGGTTCATACCAGTTTAGCCTCGAATGCAGTGAAAAACCAAAATGTATAATACTCTGACCCAGAATCAGCAATATCAAGTATTGCTTCATTGTTTAATCCATAAAAGGGATCTGGAACCAGTTTGTTCTTCAACAAAGTCCCTAAAACTCTAGGCAAACAGAAAATAAAGGTTAGAAAAATATTAGATAAAATTATTTATGCCTTACTTGGTGGCATAATAGATCTTCAGAATTATTAAATTTATTAAAATGCAGAATTCATGAAGAAGAAACAAAGACTACTAAAATTAAAGCTTCAAGGTCAGCTGTTTCAATATGGCATGCCACTTTCTATTAGTGATGAAATTTAAGATAGGTTATGAATTTGACTTAATGTTTGAAGATTGCTCAAAAATAGGGTTTTATTTTCACTTGTATGAAAACAACAAGAAGGTTAATGAGGCTGTAAGAACCGGCTTGGCCAGCTCAGTCGAATTGGTCATAATCAAAGTGCGGGCTAGCAAGAACTAGGTGAGCGGAACTAGACAAGCATACAAATCCAGCAATCGGAAGTGAGTTCGATCACACGAGCGAGCAAAGCATCGCCATCAGAAGTGAAGATGGGAGACAACTTAAGAGGAATAATGTCTTCACGCTTAGTCCAGTTAAGCCAAACAGCAGAAAATTGAGAGAAGGTTGTGATAGAGAGAAAGAAAAGGGAATAAGAAGAGAAAGTGAAGAAATCTGGTGAGAAAGAAGAACATGATGCTTGTAAGAGAACTTTATTTCTTCTCTATTGCTAAAAATAGGTAAGAATTCATTATTTTATCTTATTATTCCTTAGGTGAAGAAGAAAGTTTGGGAGAAGAAATCGAATTAGTAGAAGACTTGATTCAACAAGGAAGAAGCAAAATTGAGGTAACAGATGCAAGTTATATAAGTGAAATTTCTTATCAATTTCAAGAAATTTAATATGCAATGAAATTAGAAATATAGTTTGTTAACTTAGAGGAGTTTGATAATTTGTTATTGTTTTGACGATATTTAAATTTCTACATAATTTGACCTAAAAGTATTAACGTCAATTAATATTATTTTTGGAATAGAAAAGGAATTAAATAATTGAGTTGAGACGAATATTAGAAGTCTGTAAAAGTTTTTGAAGGAGGTTAGGTGTCGCATTATAGAAGATTATTTCAAAGCTCAAATATTTCGAAGAATTGAAGCACGAGAGTAATTAAAAGAGATAATTATAATTGTTTCATAGCAATCACAATTTCCTTTCATTTATTTACAAATATTGTATGTTGTAGCATTTATGCTGACTGAATATTTAATATATAAAATGAGTCAAATTAAAAAAAAAAAACTAAATGAAAAGAGCAAAAAGAATTAATGAAATAGAAAAATGAATAAATTAATTATAATGCATATAATTGAAATTTATATTTATATTAAATGTATATGTATGTGTTAAAAGAAAAAGAAAGGCAAAGGAACATAAATGCATTTATATATGTTTAACTATTATATTATAAGTTGTAATTATCCATTAAGTTTATTAGAAAACTCAAATTATTAAATTTAAAATCTCAAGTAAATCTCCTGTAAACTAAATGGTTAAAAGAGAATAGTTTGTCTATGGAAGAAGAGGATCAAATAATAACAGACAAACTGAATTATTATATGTTCAAATTGAAAATGTGTTTTAGCGGCTCTTCAGTTATATTATTGAAAGAAATGTATTAACCGTCTGACTGTTTGTTCCTGCATCGTTAATTTGAGTCTTTGAGTTGGGTCGTGACAGAGGCCAAGTCATGATAAAATCAAACTTAAAATTGAGTTAAGCGTAGATCAAATCAAATTAACTTGAGATCAATTTGAAACATATATGCATGAATAAATGTATGAACATATGAATGTGAGCATAAATATTTTGATTTATGTTTTTATACTTGTATTAATGCATGCATTAACTATATGTAGATAAAAAAGGATAGGCTTGAGATCCCATTGTCAATATACCTACTCTGAGGCACCAATGCCGCAAAATTCAACTCCCTACTAACAATGCTAACAACACTAATAATCGTCACATTCCAAACACTTAACTTCTATTTCAGCCTAGCTACAAAATCTTGAAGATAATCGACTCAAACTCTGTAGGTATTTCTGTCTTCATTCTTTCAAGCACACTGCATGATGGTGCTAATAACTTAAAACTAAGCTTGTAAACACAAAAGGAAGGGAAAGAAACATAGGTCCAGTTGAAGAGAAGGCTCGTCTACTTTTTTTAAGCTTCCCTCTTGGACACTCACCCAGATCAAACTCTATATGGAAGCCACGCAATGTTTGTAATCATAGTTTGTAATCATCAACCAATTTACAGGTCTTACTCAAAGAGCTTACCAGTCGGAAAAATTTGACCAGCGGGCAAGACTCCCATACGATTCCGGAAATCTTCGTTAGAAAAATACCCAAAACACATCGCTACAGTTATGTAAAGCTTGTAGAAGAAGCAACCCATTACGCAAGCAATATACATTTCAATTCGATTACTTGAATAACCGCGGGAGATAGAGAAAGATAGAGGAGACGAGACATACGTGCCGGGTACGGCGGCCTCCATCCAGGGAGCGGAAGGGCCAGAGGGAGGCGTGGTAGTGGTGAGCTGTACGCCTGTGACCTCCACTTCCGTTGATCTGGCCGCCAGCCATCCCGACTCCAGCTTAGTCTTCCCCACCGTCGCCATTTCTGCTCTCGCTCTCACTTCCAAACGCTATTTGCCTTAGGAGTTATAATGCCCTCACCTAGTTCTTCCCCTCGCCAGTGTCGGCAAAAGCGTCAGTAATTACAGTGGAGTGCGACAGCACCGTGGCTCTACCGGTTAAGCATCCCCACCAGTTTTGTCCTGCTTGA